GACATTTCATGTTGATATGTTATTTGTGAAATTTTTAATTTTTAGAGATTTGAAACCGGAAAATTTATTATATTATGATCAAACGGAGAATTCTAAGATAATGATTTCCGATTTTGGTCTTTCGAAAATTGAAGAATCGGGTGTTATGGCTACAGCATGTGGTACACCAGGTTATGTTGCACCCGAAGTTTGTTTTAATTATTTCATTTATCGAAAATATTTAAAATTAAATTTTTCTCCTACAATATCAAAATGTGAATTTATTTACAAATTATTAATGTTATTTTTTTAAGTGATGAAAGAAGTGAAAAATTGTAGTGAATTATTCTGATGATTGGTTTCAAGTTTAAAATGACTTAAAAAATTTTTAAGTGCAAAAAAATTTTTACTAAAACTTATTGAAAAAATTATCATAAATTTTAATCCGAAGTACTGTATAAAGAACACGAAAATTTTCCAATAAGTTAAGCGAATATTATTATATGAATTGTTATCTATTGCTAAAATCATTGAAAATGATAATAAGTAGAAAGTGGAATTGAATGATTTAATGGTTAACTTAATATATAGATCTTATGCTTTCTATACATATTTCTTGGATAATTTTGATAATTCAGGTCGGAATAATTGAAAATTTGGAAGCATTTTGCAATTCATGCAAAGCGCATAGAAATAAGATTGCAAATAATCTGATAATAAAATAACAATATACGGAAATTTTTCAAAAATCAAATAATTTTTCACAGTTAAAATAGGATCTGTTTTGCCTTGCACCCACAAATTAGAATGATTGACAGGCGCAAAATAGCAGCGCAAGCAGCCTGTCATCAATGATTGTTTCAACAATTTCAGAAAACCAGTTTTCATTCATATTGGTCAAATAAGAAACTATGATAAAGTAATCAGAAGTTGTAATACAAGTTATTTCTTTAGAGCCTTAGGAAGAATGAATTTTATACTCATATTTACGTGTTACTTTTTTCTCTTAAATAAAGTGTGTGATAGTAAATGATATGATTGATCATATCATTAGAGATAAAAGAAAGAAGAATGATTTTGCATTAATAAAATTAATAAAAAAATATTTAAAAAAATGCTTTTTTTTTTGGGTAATATATCAGATTAAATTTGATAATTGTTTGTTTAAAAAAAGTTACTTTTAATTAGTAAAATGAAGTAATTTAGCAAACAATTAATTTTAATTCAAATAAATAATAGGTATTGCAACAGAAACCGTATGGTAAAGCTGTTGATATTTGGTCTATCGGTGTTATAACATATATTCTTTTATGCGGTTATCCACCATTTTATGATGAAAATGATGCAAATTTATTTGCTCAAATAATTCGAGGTGAATATGAATTTGATTCACCGTATTGGGATGAAATTTCTGAGTCAGCGAAAGATTTTATATCTCATTTAATGTGCTGCGACCCAGAACAACGATATACCTCTCATCAAGCATTATCACATCCGTGGTAACTTTTATTATCATGTAATTATCATCGTGCCTCCACATTATATTTAAATTTATTTATTTCAGCATTTTACAACAAGGATATGCTTCTAGAAGGATAATCTAACTTATTTTATGTTGCATTATAAAAAGTTAAAAAGTTTTTAGTTGCATATTTTATTCCCGATTAAACGATTATTTTCTGTTATTTTTCTTCCTCTCTTCACTGAATATACGTGACATAAAAAAGAGTAAATTCCTTTTCATTAGGTTTTTAAATTAAGTTTATATTATATATATATATATATATATGTATATTGAAATATAGGATCAGTGGTGATACAGCTGGTACAAAAGATATTCATTGCTTGGTGGCATCACATTTGAAGATAAGTTTAGCGAAACGAAACTGGAAGAAAGCATTCAATGCGACAACTGTAATTCGTCAACTTCAGATGCTTCGATTATCATCAATCTCACAAGGGGCATCCACGTCAACAAGCAAATAAGCAGCATTTTAACCAAACATATATGATCATTTTTCCAGGAATTATCGCAAAGACAGGAGAAAATCAATATTTAAATTTACATAATCCTCATCATTATGATCTTACATATAAATTTCATTGATAATTTTTTTTTTTAAAAAGCAGCTGTAAACGGCCTTCCATCCATCATTATGATTATCACTTTCCACATGTTTGATTGTAAAATTTGAAGTATGAAGAGAAATACACACCTAGGTCTATCATAATTTTTATGGCTTTTAGAAGTCTATCTGGGAAATCAAATTAAAATCAAATTGTAGAATTAGAATTAGATCTAAGCTATCGTAGAATTCTTCAATCCATTTGTAAAGGCAAATTGCAGAAAACATTCTGGGAATTGCCTATTATGAATTTAACATCCTATTCTTTTCATAAACATCTCATATTCGGCAATCAGAAAAAGAAAGCAAGCTTCACGACAGAATTACAGTCTGCCTAGAAATATCTACTCTAATCAGGAGCCCAACCACTCATTATCGGAAAAACTGAGACAGATTTATCTCTATATTAAATCCATAAGGTAGAAGTTTGTAGACTAAAGACTGTCTAATTTGAACATAAATTTATTCCTTAAATATAAAACATTAAATTGTTTCAATTCCTTTTTTTTTAAAAAAAAAATGGGAAAGCATTTCTCCGAATTCATCTTCCAACTGGTAGCTAAGCTTGTTATAATCTGCAAACAACAAATATTTGCATTGCTTAATGTGTTGTAAATTACTCCCAATTTTATTGTTATCATCTTCCAAACTGGCAATCAAATTTAGATTCGATTGTTAAAAAGTTGTAAGCTATTTGTTCGATGAACTTTGTTGTAATTCAAATCTCCTTGTGATTGGAAATATCGCAGAGGTCTTCCAATCTGACGCAATGTTATCAACCAATTCCCACTATATTAAGAGTAAAGGTCATCTGTGAGTGACAGCTTCTTTACTCACTGCAATCTAACACTTTGTTCTAAGCTAATGCTCACTATATGACGAGCTAAAACTAACATTTGGGTTCAATTTCTTGGGTATCGCAAGCTGAGCCTCAGTTATCTCAGCATGCACTCATTCACTTGCAGCAAGCGGTGATGCAATGCAACAGTGGCGGTAACCGACGGAGCGAAAGTACGACAATTTAGCGAATATTTAGCAGAATATTCGTATAATCCTATTACTGTATGAGGATATTGTAAGGTTATTAGCCAGCGTTTGAAGTTATGATAACAGCAAGAATGTATATTACTACAAACTTATCTGTCATTGAAAATGATAATTTGAAAGATTTTCTGGAGTACCACTAATTTACTTATTAATGATTCACATCTCTTTCAAAGTTTCATTTTATTTTCATTTAAGATAACTTTTAGAAATTAAAAAAGAAGAAAAAGAACATACATAAAACAAAAAATAATCTTTAACTAATTCCTAATGTCTTTCGCACAAAGATCTGATATAAGCAAGTATTATCAAATAAATCTTCAAAATTCAAAAAGCAAAGACGAGAAGTCAATCGATCATGCTTGCATATCATAGCTTTTTGCCAGTTAATTTTGAAGAAATTTCACGAAAAAAAATCATGGAGAAATTTTACGAATTATTTAAAATGTCAATTAAAAATATAAGAAAATCACAGCTACAATTAAATTAAAATCAAAGTGCTGTTGACAGTGTTTCAAAAAAATGTATAATTTGAAGATGTAAATTGCATTCACCATGCAACGGATGTCTCAGGCATCCTGAAATGTGGAATATCTTTTATCCCTTTTTTCGTTCTTCGTATTTCCGAATCTAATGCATTGATCTGTAAAATTACCAATAGAAAAGATTCGACCAGGATAAGTGGAAGTGCAAAAATTTTCAAAAATATTTAAACTAAATTGAACTGCAAAAATTTCAGAAGAAAAAAAAGGCAAAAATTTCAATCTAACACTTTGTTCTAAGCTAATGCTCACTATATGACGAGCTAAAACTTCTACTAAGAACTTTCCCGGCATCCATTACTCGAAGATATTAACTTCTACAATCTGATAGAGTTGTGAAGTAAATGAACCAATGATAAAGAAAATCAATATCCGAAATCTCAAAAAAAAGAACCTATGAAGATAATCACTGATGTCTCAAGATGTTTCATCATCTAAAACATCTTGAGACATCGGTTATTATCTTTATTTACAAATTTTTTTACAAAACTTTGAAAAATATTCAAATAAACCTATAATTAACACAACAAATAAGTTATCTCTGTTAACATAATATTATGAATGGTAAAATGCGAAAATTTTTTTTACTGAGTAAGGAAACATTTGTCATATCTTTTTTCCACAACATATTAAAGTCACACGTCGAATGCTTACCAAATAGTAAAGTAGAATACAAATCTAAAACTAGGCGATTCCTATTTTAATAACTGTAGCAGCCAGATCAGATTAACAAATGATATTTGTGTAATCTGATCTGACTTTGAACTGTTGAGCAGTTGAAAATAAAAGAGGACCTAGAGTGAAACAATACTGTCAGAAAAACAGAGGATAAATTAACTGACTTATTACAAGACAACATGAAAGTGCCGAAAAACTCCATTCAGTATGACTGAAGAAAAATGTCGTTTAACCTGCAAAACATTTAAATCATGAGAATGCCAATTTCTTCTGCCTCTCCATTCTTTCTTTCTAAAATGCTATATATACCTTCCTGCATTCTGCTCATAACTAAAACAAGAAAATTCTGAAACTCGAAAGAACTCTATTCTAAATAGAATATAAGATGTATATATCCATCAGCATACAAATGTTCTCCAAATTAATAATTAATACACTTATTTATAACATAAAATACTAACGCACTTTCCAGTTCTCTAGAAAAAACACAAAATCATTTGATAACAAAAGGATTAATGCTTTTACGTTACATTTTCGACATATGAAATCAATGTACAAGAAGTCACGAAATGCTATATATACGTTTTTTTTCACAAAATCAACACCTGCAATAGTCTCACGTCAATTAAATTTAATACAAATCCAAAAATGCAAACAGTTCTTTCGGCACAATTTTTTTGTAAACGGTCTTCAGCCAGTTTCGTCGCACAGCATTCGCGGCAAGACCCATAAGTGTAAGGTATCGACCTGGAAAATAGCAAAGCTTTGAAGTTCCGTACAAGCTAGAATAATTTAACTTCGCATTTAGTTAAGATGAAAGATGAAGTCTTCGGAAATTTTTGAAAGATAAACAACTCTTCCAAAAACATTATTTCAGGATTACCAGAACATAGGTCAAAACTGGTCAGTCGAATTTGAAAAAGTCATATAATTTATTTGATAATAATCTCTAGTCTGCTGGTTATTGATATGAATGCAAAACGAAACGATTTTTGTAAATTTTATTTTAAAGGCATGATAATATGTCGAAATAAAATAACATCAGCAGCACATATCATCATTTATTAAATAAATAAAGCGCTTAAGCTATTTGCAAAATATAAATAAATAAAGCAAACCCAATTTGAGAAGCCTAAATGCACGAGGCAGCGTCTCTGAGATTAACTCCAAACATGTGTCGTTTTCTTTGTTACGAGCTAGGAGTGTTGCACCGTTTTGGAGCAATAGTTTGATGACACTCTGTCTCGGATTATTACTCAACAAAACTGTATGCAATGGAGTGTTACCTAAAATACATTTGGAATCAAAAATTTTGGAATCTTTGGTATATTTGGAATCAAAAAGTCCAAATAAAGCACAGGTTTGAAATTGATAAATGGTTAGCCTTAATTATATTTCAGACTTTTAAAACAACTAGAAATTGCAATTTTTTCTGACAGGATAACTCAACATACCCAACGAATTTTTCGTGTTTACATCGATTCCATTGTCGATAAGCATCGTAATTACACATGCACATGGGAAACGTGTTGTTAATGGCTTGTCGATATCATGGCAAGCAGCATGAAGAGGATATAAATTCAGGCATTTCGAAACTAGTATTAAACGTGTAACGATATTTGATAAAGCAATATCAAAATCTTTTTCATCAGTATCCGTTTCTAAATTTACTGTTAGTTTGCTGTCATTATGAGAGAGACGTCGAATCTGAAATACACTGTATGCCTTTACAACAAAATAAGAGATTCCTAAAAATGTTCACGCATTTCTTGCAATAGATGTTTTGAATGTAAACCTTGCGAGACAAAACTTCGAGAAAAAAATCGAGAAATTACTCTATAAGCTACATTTCCACTATAAGTTCTTTTCAAAAATTTTGAATTTTTTGCTTGATTGCTTTATTGCATAAAAGCCCATTCTGTATTTTGTACCCAAGCTGTACTCAAACCACGTTTAACACTTCAAACTTTACTACTCTTCATCAGCCGTAACTGACGTTGACACTATTCACACTACTTGATGATAGATGGCAAAAAATAAATACCGACCAAAAGAATCAGCTGAAGGGATGCAAGCATCAAGAAATTAGAGCACCGAATATCGTCACCTGGTTCTTCGAAAATTTCATCTGTCTTAATTTTCATACCGCTACTATTGAATCTAAAAATAAGAAATTCAAGATGAAAAGGCAAAAATTATAACAAATTACTAAGGGCAGAAACAAAGCACAGCTTCCAATGCGATTTTGTATTTAATTTCATAAGAGGCAATTTAAGATTTTAACTCAGCCTAACATCTCTCTCTCTCTTGACCCTAAACTAAGATGACCAAAATTCTATAAATTTGTTAATAATTTTTAAAAACACAAAACATCTTAGTCAGCTACCAAATCTGGAAATTATTACACCTAAAAAAATATTTAAAATAAAATGATACACAAAGTTATAACCTCTCCAGCTCAAAAACAGTTTTATCTAGTACATCCATTAGGTATTTACGAGAAAGTGGAGTAACACGCACGCCATCTACATTAGCAATTATGATTCCTTCGTTCACCATTAATATAAATGTGTCAATGAATGCTCCAATTGTGGAAACAGTTGAAGGATGCAATGCGCAAAGATGTTTTTGCTAAATTAATGTTTTTATATTTGGTTCTGCTATAAAATTCACATTTCCTCCAGTTACAAGTTTCCAAATTGAATTATTAGAATCCTTTTGAAAAGCTAACAAGCAATTAATAGTAAAATACGTCACCTATCACAACTCTATTAGAAGAAGCCTTACAATCTTAATCGTCATTTATTGGTAAATTTATTAGTGAACAATGATCCATAGAATACTACAATTCTGTCGGAAATCATAGCCTTGAATATTATCTCAAGCAGTTAAAATCAATTTGAAAGTTGCGATGAAATTACCAACTTGAAGATCGAGTGCATGCAACCACAACTGAAAGCATCGATTTGTTTCACCCAAATCACAGTATACAGCACCACGGTAACGTATAAAATAATGTGTTTCGTGGTGATCTCCACCGATGATTCTTTCTCGCATGATTAATGCCTGAAGTTATTGGTCAAACAAACAATGAAAAGCGAAGGCAATTAGCTTCATTCTAAATCTATACCTGCATTCTGATTGCATCAGGATCACCAATTACACGACGTACGTCATCAGCTGTGTCAATTTCGAATAAATCATCATAAACATGGAGAGCAGTACGCACGCGCAGTGGTTCACCATAATTAACCGCTTCAAACCAAACACGTATAGCATTACTTAAATCCATCTTTTTATCCACCAAAGTAGCACCATATAACTAAAACAGAATTATGAAAACAATATGCAACGTGTGCAATTAAGAAAAAAAAAATTGTGAATGTAATTTCCGAAAAACTCTAAATAATGCCTGAATAACATTAGGTAACAAAACACGTTTAATTTTTTCAGCACTAAATAACCATGAAACATCCCAAATCGGTAACATACTATGAACAAAAGCAAAAGGGGATGTGTAAGAACTTCCACCTCGTTATGTGCCTATTTTTCTTAAGCGGAAATGTTATGTTTTTAGAACTTATTATTCAGAAAGACTTTTAAACAAACTTTTAATGTGTCTCTTATCTCCTGGGCCGTAGCTACAGCAGATAATGACTGGAGAACATCTTCATGTCCAGCTAGTGCACCACATTCCACAGGCGTCATATTACATCCATCTTTGACATTTTTTGCACCAGCTTTTAATAACATGCATATAATTTCATTAGAACCAGCCTCCGCAGCGTCATGCATTGCTGTGTTCCCTGAAATGACCATTCATGGCCGTTAAATATTTTAGCGAAAATCATTAATGAATTTGGAAAAAAAGTATGTTTAGCAAGAAAGTAATATCAATATTCATGGAAAAATTACCCCTCAACGATGCACGACACGGATCAGCACCATGTTTCAGCAATAGGTATACGATATCAGCTCGCATTTTAAAACAAGCAATCATCAGCGGTGTATGCCCATGTCGATTAGCCAATTCAACACCAGCCCCTTTTTTCACCAGATAATGAACTAAATAAGTATTGTAGGTCAAACGATACTTGTTATAAATAAGGATGAAGGATGATAACTAAGTAAAGAGAGAAGTGATTAATACCTATGTCGTAGTGACCATCATAGCATGCGCCTCGTAAAGGAGAACTATTCGATTGCGTTGTCTGATTGATATCTGCACCAGCTTCTTCAACAAGGTATCGAACAACATCTATATGCCCTGCAGCTGCTGCAACCCACAAAACTGGCGCTCGAGCTAAATTTAGATCACTTTCTTTTTTTTTTTTTTTAAAAAGGGACAAAATTCTGAATAAATTATCTGATAAGACCACTTATAAAATTATAATGAACAAACATCATACTCACGATGATTGAATTCCTCATAACCTATTATTTTCTTTCAGTAATTCTGAATAATAAATTATTTCCAGAAACGAAAAAGAGGTAGTGAGAAGAAACGAATACGAGAACAGTACAACAACGTGTTCAAACATGCCATCATCAAATTAATGTTATGTAAAACTGACGGATAATTTCACCATCAAATATAACTGTCCCCGTAGCTGAGATATCTGCGCCCTTTTCCAGCTGCAAAGAGAGATTCAGTTTTAATAACCGATAAGATTACCAAATTATCAGCGAGAATATAAAAATATAAGATCCTATGAAAGACAATACAAGAACTACTAGAAACTTTTTTTTTTTTTTTTTTTTTTTTTTTTAGTTAATAAGCTCAGAATATTTGAGTAGAAGAAAGATTACCAAATATTTTACAACATCAAGATGACCATTTCGCGCTGCGATAACAAGTGGTGGAGTTTGCAATTCTTCTGATGATATACAGTGATGAAGCCATTCGTCTGATCGATCTTCCAAAAAAATACGCAAACGTCGTAAATTACCATCTCGTGCAGCATTGAATACAACAACTCGATACACATCCGGATTCATTCCGTACACGGCAACAAACAAACAGACCGCCCAGCAAGTTAACAAAAAATGTCAATTTTCACCGCACCTTTCTGATACTTTAAGCAACTCTTAATCCCACCTCTATGAATCTCTTCGTGTCACATGATTTTTACGCGGTATGCGTCTCAATCTCGATATTCTCTCCAAGACTTGTCAGCTTTCTCCGAGATTTCCTGAATAATTGATTTTATCATCACTGAAAATATCTTACTATGTCATAATAAACGATAATTTGATGAAAAAATAAATATGTAATCATTTGTGATGTATATGATAATATAATATAACGATAAGGCTTATTGTCTTGGAATTCGAATTCATTTGTTATTTACTTTATAAATGCACAATTATTTATTGTTTATCGATATCATTTCTCATTTGTAGCACGAAAACAAACCGAAAAAAGAAAAAAGCAGGAAAAAAGCCAAAAAAGAAAACAAGAAATATTCATATCGATAGGTATGTATCATTTCTATTTTATATGCTTAATTCTAGACAATTGTAGATATCTTCTTTGTCTGGAAAATGCAAAAAAGGTATGTGCAATAATTTAATAGTAAAGAAGTAATAAGCAATATATAATTAATATGAAGTTAATCTATAATAATAACAAATCATTGATCCGGAATAAACACTGTTCAAATGACAGAGTAAAACACATGAAATTTGTTAAGTGATTAGAATCCTCGGTCAAAATAAAAAAAAAGAAAGAAAAGTTTTGGGAAAGAATAATATGAATAAGAATTAAAGATGAATAACTTTAATTATTTTTTGTTCCAGCAATTAATTGATTTATAAATGAGCTCTAAATTTTTTTAAATTTAATTTCATCACAGAGTATAAAAAAACACAAAACAGTTATTAATAACAAAATTATAATTGGTGTTTAACGTTACTGCTGCAACAATTAATTTTAGAATAACAATTTTTTAGAATGTTTATCATTATTGGTAATCGCAATTATCACTTACATTTTGATCAACTAGACATTCATAATTTGTTCGAGGGATTATTGCTATGTACATTCAAGTCATTCTGATGTATTTTTATCCAGTCATCATCATATTATCACAACTATCACATATGCTATATTTGGAATTGCTCATTTTGATAACCATTATCAGTCCAACATAAAACACGAAAAAAAAGCTATAAGCAATTCAGAATATTACAATGATTGCTGATGATAAGGTTGTTGATTCAACAATAATTGATCGTTTCAATTCTGTTTCATTCTATTAATCGTTGACTCTAAATTGTTGTTGTAATACTATTTGTTAATTTAAGTATTATCTGTTCACACTACATGCTTATTAAACATCAATAAAAAAAATTGGAAATTTTCAAATTTGATTTTTTTAGATTCAGGATTTTAAATTTAGACAATGATACAGTTTATCTATGTCAAAATAATCAATTTTTTAAAAAATAAGAAAATTAAAATTTTCAATGGAAAAAATTTTTTATCCCAATTTTTTCCAACAATTTTTATTACAATTGACGAAGGATATTTAAAATTCGAGCTATCCTTTTTTCTTTATATATATATATATATAAGATTTATATATATATATATATATATATAAATCTTTGCTAATGTATTTTTTACACCAACCATCATTTAATGTTTCTAATTAGTACGCATTTTTTAAATAGATAATAATCAATAGAAATTATATGAATGTAAAATTGATGAAAATCATTTCAATTAAAATATCGTTTACTGACCATTATAATTCTTTGTCTCATCCAATTAACTGACCAACCACTGTTCTCCATGCTAATTGAATTGCATAAGCGTAAAGGATTGTAAGCTATAGATGAAATTTGAATGATTATTGCTCTAATATCCTTTATTGCGTTTATAATAAAAAGTCAATTCTTGGAATATTTTTCAGGGAATGCATATATCATATCTGATTTTAAAATGAACAGATATTATTTATATGGAACAGTTGTTTTCATATTTGATGCGAACTTTTTTGCGAAAATTGTCCAATTAAAATTTTTAAATTCAAAAAAAAAAAAAAAAAAAAAAACTGTGATAGATTTTGCGATCGAATTTTTTTCCTATTTTATAATATCTGCATATTTAAACTTCAAATATTGTAGCATATCTAATTTAAATATTTCAAATTATGTTCTAAGGAATAGTTACCACATTCTTCCCTCTCTCTCCGTCTCTATCAGTTATCACCTTAGTCTTTTCGTAAATTAATTTAGAGTAGTATTAATAATTTAGCTTCAAATCTTTCATTATTTTGCACATTTCACTTATTTAATTAGTTGTGTGAGAAATTTTTGCAAATATACTGCTCATTGTGAACTGAAAGTGAAATATTTATTATAACATCGCAAGATTATTTTGACAGGTGAAAAGTTCATTTCAAATAAATTCTTTCTGACGTTTAAACTTGACAAGATTTGCAAATTATATATAATTTTTTTTTTTTCTTTTGAGATTCAACTAAAATTTGGAAAATCTTTTCTTCTTATTGACTTCAAAAAAAATTGAGTTTGCAATAATAATCAACGATTATCAACAAACATACGCCGATGGTATGTAATAATAACATTCCATAGTTTATTATGATTTGATTTACCTTTATGTAAATTACTGATAAGAATACAACCTGTAAGATTTTAAAAAAAGGTAAAAGAAAAATAAAATTTTTAGATGAACAATCCACACATAGTATGAAATCGAAATAATAATGATAAATGGAATCGTTGATCCTCAGTGATGCAACAATTTAAGAACAAAGCTCTCAATTATCATAAATCAAAGTTTTTTTCCCCTTTAAATTACTTCTCTGAAAAATTTTCGATTGCAAACATCAGGTAGTTTTACAGTGTGAATAGTGAAAAATGTGCTATAGTAGAAAGAAAGAATCGAAAGAATTAATTCAGTAGTATAGAAAATATTTAGCACAGTTTATTTCAAATAGTAATTTGAATATTATTGAATTGATTAATGAATTATTTCGCATATAAATTATCATATGAATAGTTGTTTACATGTATCGTTGAAAATGTAACAATTTCTTGTTAATTTGTTAATTAAGCTAATTATTTGCATGAAAAGATGGAAGATATAATCTATTCTGAATTATAGATTAAAATGTAAGACTTTGCAGAAATTTTGTTTTTTTTTTTTTTTTTTTTTTTTTTTTGTTTTGATTTTATTTTTATTTAATTCACATTTATGCGAGTAAAATTGGAAACAGTTTTATTTTTACCATAAATAAGAGCAAGTTTGAAGATTGCAATTGGTGCTGATGGATCATAGAGATCAGTAGTAGATGAACACCTGGCAGGAGTCTAAAGCCGATGAAAATGATGGATGACTGGAAGAGGCGCTAAGTGGAAAACTTCCGATACCGATCATATTATGGCTTGATGAGAGAAGGCGTGGTCGTATTTCCTATCCGTTATCCGGATGTTATCAACTCTTATCTGCATTGTTAGAATTACGACTGAGTGTACCTATTCACAGATGAAGCTTGCTGAGTTGACAATATTTTAGTCGCTCATATCGTTATTGTCGTATATTTACTAAACAGATCAGCATATTACCTTTACCTCAACGAACTCTTTCATACTGTTATCATTCATGGAGCAAAAAGATGACGCAACAAGTACTTTCTATGCCGATTATTTCATCGACTATGGCAAATGTTTGTTGTTTTCAATTTTTGAAAGAATATGTAAAATTTTTAAAATTAATGGATAAAAATGGAATCAGTTTCTTTTTTTTTAAAAAAAAATTGAAATTTATCGTTAATATATGTTACTGATAGCTCATGAAAAAGCTTTAAAGTAAATAACAATACATCAGAAAGAAAAGAGCAAAACTGAGATGAATGAGTGAAATGAATTCGCTTAAACAATTTTAAATAAGATGGGAGAAATGAAATGAAAAAGCTAACGATTTCTTCCCTTACTTTTAATTCATTACTTAATTAATTTCCTTAATAGCTTTTATTTTCTCTTTTCATATATTCTGCATAAAAATATTATCATTTATTGTCGACTAATTCATTTTCTATAAACGGATTCACAGATTTCTCCATTTGACGACCATTCCTGTTTTGAAAAAAAAAAAGTTGTAAGAGCTAATTAGTAATTTGAATGATTATTGTATTGTGTGCATCATACAGATAGCTTATTTGCAATGAATAAATTTCGGCTATCTTTGATAATTTTTGAAATTTTCGAGTTGTTTTTAATTATCCATCATTACAGTTAATTTTTTCTGATTCATAGGCAAAAGGAAAAAAAGTATGGTAAATTATTCAAAATTGAATTTTATACAAATTCATCGCATCAAAAATTATACCATATTGAATGAAACAATTTTTAATCTGTTCCGTTTTTCTTCTCCTTGTTACATTTTCAAAAATTTCCATTCTTCTAATTAAGCTGTGACAATAATCAAATTGATGTTTCATATATCATTTTGAATATTATCATAATATCACAAAGATGAGGTAAAATTTGCAGATGTAAATAATCGCCAGTGAATAATAAAAGAAAACCATTGTAGACAATATAAGTTCATGAAGGAAGCGCTTCAATAAAGTCAATTTCAGCAATTCAAGAGATCATTTTGACATATTCGCCCCGAAAACTAACAACTTTTTTTTGTTTAGAACAATTTTAGAGACGATGTGATAGTTTGTTCTTAACAAACTCTCAAAAGAGAATAGCAAAATTGAATTGAACCAGAGAAGTAATAGCTCATTATTTTGAAGAGAATTTCAAAATCTTGAGTTAAATTTAAATTGCTTATTATATAACAGATGAATGTGATCAGTGATCGAATACGACTAAATTTTCAAATCTTGAGAAGTGATAAATAACTCAAATAAAGTTAAACTTATCATAGCGGAAGCAAATTTCTCGTGTAAAAATCGAAAAAAAAAAACCGAATATGAAATGTAAGATTTGTAATAAAATAAATAGATAATATCAAGTTT